TCCTCCAATGCAAGAGTTGGGGGTTCAAATCCACCAGCAGTCACATGCCAAAGTGTCCCTGGGCAAGACACTGAACCCAGTGGCGGCTGGTCAATAGAGGGCGCTACCACTCACCATATTACCTTGAAGCCATAAAAAAATTAAATAAAAATGAACCAATAAAATAAAAATATTTCAATATATATATTTTTTAGTTGTGTAAGATAAATATTTTATACTTTATGATAAAGCACAGAGAATGTGCGAGCAGTGTGTGACTGCGCATGCACAGCTTTGAGGAAACATTGGTAAACAGTATAGTAATGGATTAATCAATCAACCTTTATTTATACAGGTAAATCCCATTGAGCCTCGAGGACTCATTTACAAGAGAGACCTGATTTCAACAAAGAAAGATGACAACAATGGACAACAGCAACAACAATAAGCAGTTATAAAAACTCATACTACAGTTTTTTTTTTTTTTTTTTTTTTTTTTTTTTTTAACAAATAGGATGGCTAAAAGGAAAAAGGTAACAAAACCAAAAAAACTACTAGATTCCGAGACAAATGTATAAAACTAAAAACAGGAACATGTCTGCATTGGTCCCTGCCAGGAGTCCAACAACATAGTAATGGATTAATCTGTCTGTGTTCAAAAGCAGAAAATTAAGGGTCATCCAGGTTTTTATGTCTTTAAGACATGCTTGTAGTCTAAGTAGCTGATTGGATTCATTGGGTTTAATGGACAAATATAACTGTGTGTCATCAGCATAACAATGAAAATTTATCCCAAGCTGTTTAATAACTTTACTTAATGGAAGCATATATAAAGTAAAGAGTATTGGTCCATGCACTGAACCCTGAGGAACTCCATGACTAACTTTGGTGTATGATGAAGATTCAGTCATCCTTTTCAGACAAAAACTGAGCATAGGAGCCTGGTGGATGATATATAGCAACTAGTGAGAGTGGCCGTTCCATTTTCCGTTTAGGATTGGATAGACTTAGAGACAGTGACTCCAACATCTTCTGTGCAGCCTTCACCACTCTCTGCAAAGCTTTTCTTTCTGCAGCTGTGCAGCCTCCATGCCACACGTTGATGCTGGAGCACAGGATGCTCTCCACTGCACACCTGTAGAAGGAGGTGAGGACTGAGCTTCCAGACCAGCTCGTCTCAGCCGTCTGAGGAAGTAGAGTCTCTGATGAGCTTTCTTCATCAGGCTGGTGGTGTTGTTGCTCCAGCTGAGGTTGTTGTTCAGGTGCACACCCAAGTACTTGTAGCTGGAGACCAGTTCCACAGCAGATTCTCCTATGCTCAGGGGGTGGGGGAAGGGGAGGGGGAGAGGTGTGTTTGTTTCATTTGAAGTCCACGACAGGTCTCAGTCCATCACAGGGACACCTGGACAGGTGTCCAGTCCATCACAGGGACACCTGGACAGGTCTCCAGTTCATCACAGGGACACCTGGACAGGTCTCAGTCCATTACAGGGACACCTGGACAGGTGTCCAGTCCATCACAGGGACACCTGGACAGGTCTTCTTTCCATCACAGGCTCAATCTCGGTCAAGGACGCTGAAGATGCGTACATAATTGTATTTATGAAAACAGGATTTTTGCTTTTTGCAGTTGGTGGTTACCTGGCATATCGACAAATTTGGAAAAATGTCAGCAGTTGTTCTGGCCATTGTGAAGCTGCCTGACTTGTGTGAGGGGATGTGCCGTGCTGTCAACACTCAGACTCAAACGCAGTGAGCTGGGCGTGATTCTTGCTGAGAATCACAGGCTACTTGAGGCTCCTGGATCTCGCTGGCGGGAAGGAATAGATCTTGTACATGTTACAAGCTCGACTCGGCGGTACTGACCACAAATTTGACTGTTTGGAGTTGCCATTGAGATGTACCAGTGGAACTGTAAGGCAGACGGAAATCACCGGAGACGGCCTGACCCAAAACAACCGTTGTTATCTGAATCTGGCTCCCCCGTGTCGGCCTTGGAAGGCTGACCATCTCAAATTCTCCTGGATGTTATGTGAACAAGATGATCTGCTTCTTCTACCTGTTCCCTTCCCCAAGAACATCTATGGACCTGTGTCAGGGCTCTACCAAGACCGGCTGATAAACACTGCACCATCACTTATCATGGACTATGGTGGGGTGGGGGGGGGGGGGGGGGGCTAACTAGAACAATGTTCATGGACTTACTTACAAATGCACACACACATACACTCACTCGCACAGCTATAAACACACTCCCCTCAACTCACCGCCTTCGATGGTCTCCCCCCCCCCCCACCCCACTGGTGCGGTAACCTAGGTTGGATGTGAGACGCCAGGTGGCTACGACACTCTCTTGGGCGGCCTGCTCTGGGAACCCCCCTCCCACTTCACCCTCACCCACTTCACATGCATCTTATTGTGTCACCTGTATGTTGCTTTTTTGTGCTGAGGGTTTTTTTTTTCAACTTTCACACTGTGTCCTGTCAGGGACAGAGTGTGAGATGTGATTTTACTTTACCTCCTCTTCTGCGTGTTCCCTTTTCCTTCCCTAACAAAAAAAGGCAGCACCTCTCATGAAGCTGCAGCCTCAGGCACCCGTCTACCCAAGTCTATGTTGTTGGATTGTTCGTGTTTCTTTGGATGGGTGGTACTGGTGTTGTGCTCTGTGCAATGACAATAAAGGCTGATTCTATTTCAGAAGACATGACTTAACTTTGTTGGAAGATTTACAAATCTTTAATGAAGCTGGGAGTATTTCTTTTTTTTTTAAACCAACTTGTTCAACAAGAAAAACACACAACCCAGTGTTTTGTATTTCATTTTTATGTCAAACTCCACAAAATTGCAAAGAACACAACAACAAGCAAAACCAAAACCTGTGTGAGCAGTAATAAAAATACATTCAATTTATTCATCCATCACTGTGCACCCACAACTCAATGTAAAGTATTCACACACATAATTATAGTCGGACATACATCTTCATGCCATTTACACAAAATAAATTGAAAGTAATGCTTCTTTGTATTGATGAGCTGTCCTTTTTCAATGCAACTAGATGGTAAACTCTGGAGAAGCTAAATCAACCTGCTCTCCAAATCTACACACGTGTGCTGTTTGGTCCAGTTCACCTGCTCTTGATAATTCCACTGTTCCAGTCAGCATCCATTCTTTATATGTACAAGATATACAATGACTCTTAAATACACTGCTTTTAGTCTATTTACACTTACAAGCTTATTGATATTTTTAATTGTTACAAAATATATGACTTTGAAAATATATTAAACCTCCCCAAAGGCTAATGTGACATTATGAGGGATCATGTCAAGGACTAACATTGTTGGGAATAAAAAGCTTAAAGAACCAACGGAAAGTTTCAATGAGAGAAAATCTGCAGCCATATTTGAAGAGTTGGAAAATAAACTGGACTCAGTGCCACCAACAAAACATGCATCCATCATCCATCCATCATCCATCCATCCATCCATCATCCATCCATCCATCCATCCATCATCCATCCATCATCTATCCATCATCAATCCATCATCCATCCATCCATCATTCATCCATCATCTATCCATCCATCATTCATCCATCATCCATCCATCATTCATC